TGTGATATCTCTGGGCTCAACAAAACTTTTTTCAGTGAAAAATGTAGTGCAAACTTTACCAACTTTACAACGTCACTTGATTTCCACCTTCCCGTGACTGTCACAACAGAGCAAGTTTTAAAGAAGTCAAATCCTATCAACAGAAATAAGTCCGCTGGTCCTGATGGGTTATCCTCAATGATCATTAAAGCATGCGCAAACCACGTCGCACAAAGCGTTTCATTCATCGTTAATACATGTCTCTCAGAAAGAAGACTAGTTAACACATGGCGTGATGTTCGCTTCACTCCAGTACTTAACAAAGAAAAGAGTAAGCTTCGGCCTATTACTTCATCTTCAGTATTTCTTAAGACTTTTGAGAGTATTATTATTAAGTAACTATCCTCTAATCTTCATTTTCGTGACTCCAATCAGTTTGCTTATCGTAAGCGTCGCTCTACTTTAGATGCGGTTGCTTATCTGATACATGCTGTTTTATCCACTATAGACCAAAAGCACAAAATCGTTTATGTTTGTTTCTTGGACTAGAGAAACGCGTTTAACTCTGTTGACAAAAACAGCTTATTGTAACTGTCACGGCACCATAATCTCCCGCCACATCTTTAGAATTGGATACATGACTATTTTATCGACCGACGCCAATTTACTTGTCCCAATGGTATTAGGTCTTCCACTGTTACTGTGAATCAGGCTGTAATGCAGCATACAATTTTATCCCCTTTCCTTTTCTCATTTTACATCCAAAACTTGCCAGTCACCCCAAATGTTTTCCCATTTAAATATGCCGATGAGATAGAAGTTGGTGGTGCATTTCACAACAACAACCATTCAACTAACCCCCTTCAATCCATCATAAGTTTCCTTTCTGAATGGTTCAATGGTGTTAACCTTTTTTCAAACCCAAACGAATGCATTGAAGTTTTATTTTCCACTGATTGTAAGCGATGAACACATTTTGGATCATCCGTTCCCAATATCTTAATGTATAATTTAAAAGTTGAAAGGTCACAACACTTCAAATATTTTGTATGTTTCGAGTCTGTTGACCTAAAATGGTTCTTTTAAGTAAAATAAACATTTCTCAGAGTGAGAAATTTGACGTTTTATATTCCACACCTTCGACATGGGGGGGGGGGGGGCGCCATTGCACATCATCTCCAAATTTATTTTTTCGTGCGTTTTATACCATTGGACCTAATGCTCTCCTGTTATCTTTCCCTATCTACTGTCTAGGGATTGCATATCAATCAGACGCTCTCTGAATAGTATCTCTAGATATGGAGCAGCTGGTTGACTCCATTGTCAACCAACACCTTAAGACGTGTGACCGTCTGTGTGGCTCTATCTTGTTCGCTGTGTCACATCCTTTAAACACAGCCCTATCTAGCTCCATTTCAACTTTTGTCACCCGCAATAAGTTTAAACATTTATATACTCGTACCATTGCTTTTTACAACTCCGTTGTATCTTACCTTTCACGTTCGTTGGTTTCGAGGGAGGGAATATCAAATGAACTTATACATAGTCTCATGTAACTATTCACGTCGAAATTTTATTTATTTTTCATGCGTTCTCGGTGTCCTATTCATTATCATCTCAGTAATTATTTTTCATATCCTTAAGCTCATTGTAATAGCGCGTATGCCAAATCAAAAGCGATAACAATCTTTTCACTGAAAATTCTGTCCACATTGGATGGATAAAGTGCACTCTTGACTTGACTTGACTTGCATCCAATTTACACATGAATATGGAATAGACCGGTTTGTATGTAAGGTGAATGCCAGGACAGGTTTTGCTTAGAATAGACCGGAATCCACCGGTTGAAATCAGAGTAGATGGCTAACTTGTTTCAATTGTCCGAATATACCATCCATACCCACTGTGAGAAAAAACAAAGTAGTGAACAAGCTCGTTTGCGGTGATTCTTCTACAGGTTAATACATCACAATTTATATCGAACTGGTTGTCAGGGGGGAGGGGAGAGATCAAGACAAGTTGGAAAGAGATAAGTACCATTCCAGTTACATGACCGGATGTCACTCACAATTTGGTCCTCACATATGAGCACTTGTTTGGGTCATTAGGGGCGGGTGGGTGTATGGTTGTGTCGTGTGTTGTTGGCCATAGATGACCGAATATTCTTACGAATTATTTTTGGGAGGGGGGGGGGATTATGTAAGTGGATTCCGATCGCTTCCGCCGTGACCAAAATGCGATTCCTAATTCTCTTAGATCGACGGATGCAAACTAAGTAGAGAGGTCGAAACGCCTCGGCCGCATTAATTACGTGGTTTGATTCCACCAGGTGTGAAAAGATTGAGCTGTTAATGGTCCTAATTACTCCACTGTTCAACCAGGCCGGGTGATGCTCACGAACTCGCTCAGATAAACGTCTGCTCGTGCTGCCAACGAGCTTGTTCACTACTTTGCGTTTTCTCACAGATGGCTAACTGTTCATTTTATTTTGTTTAGCAGCTTGAAGTCTTATGTTGAATTGTGAAAATTACAGCAACCCAGATGGGACTTTGAGCCACGCATGTACTTCTTCTAAGCATTTGTAAGGCACACGGCCTGCTATATTGGCTACGAGACCAAACTAGTAGAACTGATCTTTTGACATAATTTAAACAATTAACCGCACCTCTGAGGTTCAATCGGTGGATTGCGGTGGATTCTAGCGGACACCTATCGT